ATACAGAATAATTCCAATGCAAGACCAGAAACCTGTTAATATGCTATGAGAGGTAAGACTGAGATGCTATAGGGGGTCACAACAAGGAACACTGTTGCACTCCAGTATCTCAAAGGCTTTATTGAATAGGTGGCAGTTGTGACAGGACTTGAAGAACAGGCAGTTCATGGAAGCTCTGAAATGGGTGAAGAAGCATAAAGTACTCCTGAAGTAAATAAAGGAAGAAAAAAGTGCGGAGTGTGTACAAAGAACACTAGATGCCTTCACTGTGATGAGAAATGGACTTAAAAGGAGAGTCAAGAGATACAAGTTTAGAAAAGGAGCGAGAGGCCTAATCACAGTGTCTGGAAAGCAACCCAGGAAACAACCACCTCTCTGGAGCCCTCTCTCCTGTGACTTTCCCTAATGCCTCTGTTTATACCTCACCCTTTGCACTCAAAATGGCAGACATTCAACAGATGTGTGTTGAATAATAAATTAACAAGCTATTCACTGGTAATGTTCCCATACAGTATGAGCCAGGGAAACTGTGTGGTATGTTCTAAGTTAAAACTTAGTTGCTCCAAAGTAATCATCTTTGTTTCCTGATGTTTGCAACAAATAGGAAGGAACTATGGTTTGCAAAAAGCAAGATAATGGTGATAATTCATGCATAAAGGCATCTTGAGATACGTAAAGGACATCTTACTTTATGTCACTAATTCAAGTTACTTCACTTGAGAAAGAACAAAAAGTAGATGAGCTAGTAGAATATGGAAGACTCGTGTTGCTCCCAGTCTACTGAATAGGCATGTCCATCCCTGTGTCACATTATTAGAAACTTCAGCAGAGGGACCAGAGATGGCACAAGTTGGAAACAGATCTTGCAAATGATGAGATAAAGCAAATGAAAAATGTCTGGGAAACTTAGAAGACATGAGACTCCAAGCTAATAATACTCACAGTCTTTTAAAAGATTTAGCTAAATAACAGTAAAATAATAATAATAATAGCTATAATTTATTGGGTATGTACTATGTACCAGACACTGCAATAAGTACCTATAAATATAATTTCATTTAATTGTTACAATTACTCTATCAAGTAGGAATTACTATAAATATTTATAGATGAGAAAAATGGAGTATAGAGTTGTGAAGCAACATGACTAGTTAAATATCTAGAATGTAATAGAACCAGTATTAGAACTCACTACTGTCCAACTCTAAGTCCTAATTAGATGACCTTTCTGAACGAACAGATGTGTTACCAAGAGAGACCCGGACACTCACCAGACACCAACAAGCCGTGCCCTTCCCAAAACCTAATCTCCAATAAAAGGGAAACAAAGAGCCCCCGGATTTTGCATATGTGCTGATTCCTATGTACTTTAAAAGGATGAGATAACATACCTGGCCATGTTACAATCTAAGAATAAACAAGTGTTCACTAGATCCACTCATGAAAGCAAGCTAACAAACATTTTAAAACTCATGAAACGTGCACTTTTTATGCAGACTGGAAAGGGAGAAAGAAAAAGTGGCACTTGCAGGCTTAAGTGGTGATGAAGAGCACTGGGACAGAGTTGTGGACCCAAAGAATAAAGACGACAAAACTATTCCTGCCTTTGGTACTCTGCTAAGCATTTATTCAACAATTTGCTTTGATCTCTCTATTCTTTAATAAGAATAGAGGTTTTTTTTTAATTTTTTAGCCTTTTATCTTTTTAGTCTTTTACCTATGTGAAGGTGAGGTAACAATGGGCAAAATATCACATTTTTACCCTAAGTCTTCTCCAGGAGATCACCTCGTAAATCACAGTCCAGCTACTCCATTTGGTAGTGAGTGATGTGCAAGAAATAATTGTCAGTCTGTATTACCATGGGTACAAGTCACTGCTTTGTACCTCAGTCTTCTCATCTGAAAATTGGGATCATAGAGAGTACCCACCATAAAGGGTTGCTGTGAGGACTAAATGATCTCATGCATTTATGTAGAAATATGTATTTTTAACATATATGTACCTCAGCAATGCCTGCCATATAGTCAGCACTATGTGTTAGGTATTATTGTTATTATGTATTGTGACCATGCAAATATTAACGATTTTAGAAATCATTCTCATTAAATGCCACCTACCAGTGGTTTGCAGAAAACCTGCAAAGCAGGAGTTATTGAATTTATGTAGCAACTTGCTCATGTCTATGCAAATTTTCTAAGGCATTCTGAGGTAATTTTCTGGTATGTTCTTGACTTTATGGATTTATTGGGTTTTTTTTTTAATATAAACATTTAATTCATCTCATCTACTTAGACTTCCTGACATTGGGGTTAAGAATGAAGTAAGGAACTGAAACTACCCAAAGCTGAAAGAAACAAGAAAGTTCTCTCAGTTGGGCAGTGCTCTTCCAGCCCAGCAAAGCTCCCTACCTCCTGCCTCATCCAAGACAGAAAACACATCTCAAGTGGGGCGACAGGGAAAGAAACACAAATCAAGTCTACCTGCCTCTTCATTTAAAAATAAACGTAAAAAAAAATGTCACGCCCCGCCTGAAAGTGCTGACGGTGGTCCCATAAGATTATAATATGGTATTTTATTATACCTTTGCTGTTTAGATGCACTAATACTTACATTGTTATAACTGTCTAGTTTTCAGCGCAGTTACACGCTATACAGACTTGTACCCTGGAAGCGATAGGAAGTGCACTCGATGTAACGTGTCGCACTAGTAAATCGCCTAAAGACTAAGGATGAACTCAAAACACATCTCTGTCCCGGTCGTTCAGCGACGAGTGACTGTATATTGTGTCTCCTGCGGCCAGACTATGGCCTGGACAAAGTAGAAAGGCAGAGACGGTGCCGCCCCGAGGAGCTTCAGCAGGGCGGAGGGACCAGCCTTGCAGAGCTCCAGCCCCTTCCCGTGGGAACAGCCCACCTAGGGTGCAGGCAGGAAGGGGGCTGGCGCGCCGGACCGCTCGCCCCGCCCACTCGCCGTAGGCCCGCCCCTCCGGCGGCGCAGCGGCTGCGCGGGCCTGGGCGCGCGGGCACGCGGGACGCCGGCTGTCAATCACGCGCAGGCTGAGCTCCACGAGGCGGAGCGGCGGTGACCGCGGCGGCGGCGGCGGCGGCGGCGGCAGAGATGGGACCCCAGCGAGAGATCTGCGGCTAGGCTAGCTGCACTTGCTCCACGGGTCAGGGGATCGGAGGGGGCAGGTAAAGCTACGTGGAGTCCAGGGGAGGCGGCTCTCTATGCCCCAGATGCCTCTCTCCAGGTGTCCCTCTCCTCCCTTCCTCTCTTTCCGTCCTCCCTCCTTACGCACAAATCTCTCTCTCTCTCTATCTCTCTTTTTCTCTGTCTCTGTCATATACAATACCCATTCATGGTTATGATATGAGCACAAATCTCTACAAAAATCTATGCATATTACAATATGTGAAAACATACAAATTAGAGGTAGCCCACTCCATGCTTTGGTGGTTTGTGGTCTGTGTTATATAAGAATTTGGGTGGTGTATAGCTAAAACTTGAGAGTTTTCTTCCTTTGAGACACGAAAAGTTGTATATTAGGTGAAACTAAAATACACGTATTTGGAGTTTGGAAAACTATTTTGATTTATTTTCCAGGCTAAATCAAGCCTCCACCCAGCCTCCCTAGCCTCCCTATTCCTTTGCCATGACTGAAGGGGGGTGAGAGTTTTGCTATGATCCCAGGACCTAGGTCTTTGTATTGTTAGAAAGGGACTTTTGGGTGAGGGTCAGACCTGGTCCGTGACCTCAGAGAAAACAGAGCTGGAATTTAACAGCTGGTCTTTGCTTGATTGGTTCTTGGCTCTGTGGCAGAAATGTTTTCAGAACCTTGGAGAGCTCCTTGGGCTCCAGACCAGGCCAGCCTTTGGTGAAGGGCATGTGTGGAATCAATTTCTTAAGAGAAAATGGGGCAAGGACAGAGGAAAAGAAGGGAAATTTAATTCTGAGAGACAAGGGAGGAAAGATAGGAGAATCTAGTGAATGTTATCACTATGGTTGATAACAAGCCTATGGTTGGCTTGTTTTTCTTTGCTTATTCACATCCAGGCTCCTAAAATAGTTTGCTTCTTTCTCCCAAATCTGCTCAGATACCACTCAGAAAATTTGGGGGGATGAAAAACGAGTTTTGGAGGTTTGGTTATAGTCTATATAGACTGACCCTGGACATTCTAAAAACAGTTTGTCAGGCCTCAGATAGGCTTACTCACCTCCAGTGTTCAGGTTCTCCTGCAAATAAGTGGGGATCTGTTCATCAGAAAGAATTATTAATAGTTTCTTGAAAAACATGGCCCCAGTTATTACTTTATTTCATATGACTAGAGTAATGAGGAAACCAATAGTCTTATAGTTGGCAATGGCTTTTAAATTAAATTTTGCCTGGGCACCTGCTTTTCTTAGGCAGATGGAAAGTCAAATGGTTGTGATAGAAAGAAAATGGATATAGGAGTAAAACTCAGCCTAATAAGTAAATCATCCAAAGAGCCTTACTAATTGTAAAATGCATGTAAACATATCAGAACATACAGTGATGTTAAGAGTCATATATTTTATGACATAATGGAACAAGCACCAGAAAAGATTAATTCTAGAATATCTAGGAAGCTAGTAACCTTTTTAATTGAAATTTATAAAATAAAAATGGATTCTTGTACTTGGCATTTATTATTAACCTCATGGAATATAGTTGCATCAAAAAGAATAGCATTTATATAATGTATTATAGTTTGCAAAGCTCTTTTGTTTGTGTCATCTCATTTACTCTCTAAGTTACATTAAAAGCCCATTAACAAGTTATAAAATATGTTTTACTTTTGTTTTCTTAAAAACCCATCTCTATTCTTGAACAAGAAGTTCTTTGCCAATATTTTTGTCAATATTAAAATTACTCTTTATAAGTTATATAAATAGTTTATGAAATTTGGATGTTAATCTGTATTACATTTTGCAGAGATTTTTTTTCTTAAATAAGATTGAAGAATGTCCCATTAAAAAGAAAGGTCAAAGAGTACACAAGAAGAACAAGAGGTGGAGGATTTCAAAGGTAAGATTCAAGCTTCATCACATGTAGATTCATAAGCACCTCTTGGTCTATATGTAGATAAAGAAGAAAGTAAAAGAGAATATGAGTTCCTGTTCTCTTCTCAGTTTGGTTTTGTAGTTTATGTACTTTACTAAAAAATATATCTTGAAAGATTAATTGATAGTGGGTAAGATAATTGCAGATCATTCCTTCTCTTCTAAAAATTATAGAAGTGGCTACATATTTACTGAGAGGATTTTACAAAGTTCATAACATAAAGCCATAATCACTACACTGTCTCTCTCCAAATAAAATGTCTCTGAAATGATCCATTGGTTGAAACATAGTTTCAAGTTTCAAGGTCATGTTTATAATTCCAGAATGCCTGATTTAAAAGTGAAAAGGCTATTAGCAGGCTTTCATGCTTTCCTGCATCTACAGTGAGTCTGGCTGAGTCTTTTAAGTGACTTGACCTTTGGGTTGGTGTTGGATAAGTGGTCTAGACTGTCTCTGTCCCTATACTTTGTCTTTTGCAGCACTGGCCTTGTGGAAAAGTGGCTCTAATGGGAACTTCACTCTCATCATCTCAGAGTTATTTTATTGGAGAGAAAAGTAGTATGAAAAATTGAGTAATAGTTTGAAGGGAATAAATAGAACAAGGCCGGGATCTGGCCTGACAACTGACTCACATAGCCATGGGAAAACACTCATCCTTTCTGTGCCTCAACTTGCTTTCTCTTTTCTCTCAGGAAGACGACAAAGACAAATAATATAATGTCTCTGATGTCCTTAGAGTGTCATGAGGCATAAAGATTTAATTCTGTTTTCATTGCTATGAACATTTGTAAAATAAAATAAAATGTAGCTGCATATGTTAGACTTCAGTTCCAATTTCAGACAAAAAGTTGATACTACAGTGTTTCAGCACACATAGAGATCACAATAGCACATATGTGGGTTTGCCTAATAAAGGAATTGTTCATGGGATCCTCAGCATTTGTACTCCCTCCCGTTGTAAACACCTCTTTATGCTGCTTGGTTAGTTGCATTTATCGCTTCCTGAGTGTGTCCTTCTAATTCAAGAGTGCAGTAAGAGCAGATTTTGCCCCACTCATCTCTGTAAATGTTATTTATGTACCTGGCATACAGTTAGTGCTTTAAAAACATTGAAAGAAAGGAGGAATGACAAACTCAGGCCATCACCTTTATAACAGCCCATGAAAAACTCTGTGCTTAGAACTTAGAAAGTACTGGAGATTTAAGTGGTAAACAGAACAGGAGTCCCTGCCCACATGGAGCTTACCAGCATGCGTATGGTCTATCAGATCACAAGCAAATAAACCACACATGGACTATCAGGCAGCACCAAGTGCTATGGAGAGGAAAAAGTCTGCACAAGGGGATGAAAAATGAAGGAGGGCTGATATTTAGATATAATGATTGTAGAAAGCCTCTCAGAGAATTTGGGAGGGAGGTACAGCACAATGTTCTCCTTCCCTTGGTCTCCAGGATATGATAGGTGTGCTTTGTTGGTAATAAGTCAATATTCATTTAATGTGTAATGGTGGGCCAGGTGTGGTGGCTCACACCTGTAATTTTAGCACTCTAGGAGGCTGAGACAGGTGGATTGCTTGAGCACAGGAGTTCAAGACCAGCCTGAGCAAGAGTGAGACTCATCTCTACTAAAAATAGAAAAGTTATCCAGGTGTTGTGGTGGGCACCTGTAGTCCCAGCTGCTCAGGAGGCTGAGGCAAGAGGATTGCTTGAGCCTAAGAGTTTGAGGTTGCTGCGAGCTGTGAGTGACCCCATGGCACTCTACCCAGGGTAACAGAGTGAGACTCTTATCTCAAAAAAAAAAAAAAAAGGTGTAACTTTACATGCAATTGAGAGAGTTGTTATGGACAGATTATAAAAAGAAGAGATGGAGCCTCACTTATCAGCACCTAGGAAGGATGAAAACATCTTCCTTTTCATAAATGACCAAAGCACCGCACACAAAGGTTGCTTGTGCATCCATCATAACCATGCTGGCAGGGGATGCAACTGGAACATTCATGAATGAATAATAATGTAGACTAATTTAAATACAATGCCAGACAATGTTTTTGCACCCTCTCTTTTCATGTGCCTCCTGAGATAAGGCTTTCTCTAAAGAAAGGAGCCCTCCAGGATCTGTTGCTTAACAACAGTCATAGATTTAACATTACCATTTTTGCTGTTGCTACTGAAGTACAAACATCGGGATTCTCATGAAATCTTGCTCATAAAGTAAATACTGAGCCAAGCTAAAAAGCCTTTACACATACCTTCGGTTTCCGTTTCAATGCTAGTTCATTGTATCTAGTTTAATAATTGCTCAGCTTTCAAAGTGACTTTAGGAAGTGTGTGCACATGTCTTTTTTATAATACTGAGGTATCAATCAAACCAGCAGGTTCCAAAAAACTGTAATATACTCTGTATTGGGACTAAAAGTTCCTGGCTTCCCTATGAGGCATGTAACTCTCTTGAGATTTTGTAGGTCCAAAACCCTCACTCTTATTAAAATTCTTGTGTTCTTCCCAGTGATCATTCTGCTCTAGGTATGAATTACAACTAGTTCTAATTTTAGGGACATGTCTGAAACCTCTCAGACCCTCAGAGACAACACACATAACATTAAAGGAACTTGTTTACAAACATTCGGTCTACTTAGTAGCAAGTAAGTAACCTAACTATCAGCTTATATGACCCTTTAAACTGAAGTAAGAATTTGAGACTGACAATCAAGGCATTTATGGAGGAGATGGGAAGTCAGTAAATCTAGTTCTTTATCCAACAAACAGTAATTGATTAATTCCATAGAGTCATAGGAATAGCTTTTCAAAATCCTGAAAAGCTGTACCCAGAAGGAATTAGAGTTTAATCTGTTCCAACTATCTTATTCTAAGGATGATGAAACCAGAGCCCAGAAAGGTTAACATGTTTGTCTAAAACCCCATGACTGGTAAATTACAGATCAAAACCTAGCATTCAAGTCCGTTCTCTACTCTGTGTGGTTGGCACAAAATAGGCCAAGTTCTTGTTCATGCTCTGTGCTTCTAGAGGAGAGAGTAAGGCCCTTGGGGTTTTCCTCTTCAGAGTATATCTAACATCATAAAAATCCATAACTTAAAGTAGAGCTTTCAATCACTCAGGTTCAAAAACATTTAGGACACTTTTTATCTCTTTTATGATTTTACCCATCTTATTTTTAACAAAGTTGGACAACTAAGTCTTATAAAGCAGGAACATGTAACCAAGGTGCCGGGAACAAGCTGTGCAGGGAATGACTACAGTATGTCATAAGGTCCTTCTCTGCATCAAAGCTCAATCCTGAGAAACAACAACTTCAGCATCTAAGGGAAATAACTCTTACTGCTGCCATGAGAGATTTTTAATATTCATATTACATCGATTTCTGTCCTTTTCTCATGTTAAAGTCACTGATGTCTTATAGAAAACCTGAAAATATATATTTAGATGAGGTGGTTCTGACTGTGCAAGTTCATGATTCAGCCCATAATCCTGCTTATTGTATTAATTGTCATCTTTCACCTGCTCCCTGACTCATGGTGTAACCTTTAGTAGATGCGTTTTCCATGCCTTGGTTTCCTCAATGACAAAGCAGACTTAGTAATACTGATCACATCTCCCCTTGACCAAAATTGTTATTAGAATATCTTAAAAGAAAAGTGCCTTTATAATCATTCTGCTTGTGTACCATTGGTAATAGGCTCTTATTAATCATCTTCATTGTGCAAGCATTAAACAGAAGGTACTGAAGAGATCATCCTGGCACTTAAAATATAAAAACTAGGTTAATATTCTTTTGATCTGTCAGGCTTTGCTGCTCTAATCAGGCAAAGTACATCTGAAAGTTTGACTTTTCATGAAATAATATCCTTCTAAATATTTAAAAGTAAGAAATAAGAATCCTACTTTTGCCTCCCTGCACTGTCTTCCTGGGTTATTTCTTTAGATGGTAGCTATGCCTGACATGGGGAAAAGGCATGGTGAATGAAATATTGGCCAACAGTGCAATGATCACCTGCTTCCATCATTTTGCTAAGATCAGGGCCATGTTTTCCTCAATTTGGCCACATTTTCTAACCAAAACTCATTTGTGGCTATGGGTACACATTTACAAGATGTTCTTAAGTTCATGGGTTCACTTGGTGCCCTTAGGCTACCTCTATCAACATTGACTTTAGTCCCATGATTCTGTCCAACCAAACTAAGTGGCCACATAAAGGCATTCAATAGAATAGATAAACATTATTAGCTGGTTTCTTGAAGAGTAATTGGAAATAGTTAATATGCCCCTTTGGCCTAGATTATACCCCAAGCCCTGAGAAAACCTGGTTCAGTGAGAAAATAACCTTCCATATTGTTTATCATTTTATTACATACGGAGCACGTTTATGGGAGGAAAAGCATTTAAAACATCATTGAAAAAATCCAAACAAGTATTTCACATACCTAGCTGCACACTTATTTGCTCATATAAATTCAGAAAACCATAGGATAACTGAAATACCGTTCCCTTCCTAAAATTACTGCCCCTCAGTAACTTCCCCTTTTTAAAAAATCATGAATTGATAACAAAATCCATATTAATGCCTTTCTCTGAGGGTATTAGGTCAAATGAAGTTGGAATTTCTATCTTAAAGAGGCAAAGCCCCAAGCAGCCCACCCAGGGCATAGTTTCAACAACAATTCTTTGAACTCTTATTTATATTAGATACTTAATGAAAAATAATAAAAAGCTGGGTCTACTCTACGTATTAAACACACACATGCACAGGTGTATCCACAAATGATGACGGATTTATATGGTGCTAGAGTTAGTGAGATGGCAATTACAGGCCAAGCCATTTATGATTAATAAAGCATGAGGTTTAAATTGCTCAGCAGCTTTTTAATGGAGCTTCTATACAACTTGACAATTAGTTAAAATGTTAGAGGAAGATATGAGAGATCTGAGAGGGAAGAACAGCTACTAAGAATAACACCATGTAGATTCCACAAGGGAACATGGTGAAGAATCTGAGGGGACAGTCTGAGACAAATTCCATCTCTAGCAAGGGAGAATGCCTGCCTAATCCCTTAACATGTAAATGCAAAGACTATTGAATTCAAAGGGATTAAAGATTTCTTGTCAAGTCAATGAAAATCTCAGCTAGCTTGTTGCCACTTCTTGTGTGCCTCATGCTTAAATTTTTGCATAATTTAAATCAGCTGTGCTGTTATAACTCATTACACTTATGGAGAACCAGTTCTAGTTATCTAGCCAGTATTTGACGTAATTTTGTATTGAAGGGAAAAGGGGAATGGCTTATAAGAAAGACAGGTCTTTAATAATGTCTTTAAAGAAGAGTGTTGTTCAAGGAGGCTGACATTGCCCAGCCTGCTTCCTGCCTTTCCTGTCTTTTGATCCTGAAGTCAAAGGCCATCAGGCTGATTCCTGTGGATGTTGTCATTTCAGCTGGGAAAGATGAGTTCTCACAGTAATGTCTGTGGGTCCAGGCAGGCACAGCCTGCAGCCGAGGGCGGGTACCAGCGCTACGGAGTCCGGTCCTACCTACACCAGTTTTATGAGGACTGTACTGCCTCCATCTGGGAGTATGAGGATGATTTCCAGATCCAGAGATCACCTAACAGGTGGAGCTCAGTATTCTGGAAGGTAAGGAAAGAGCATATGTCTACTCAGAAAATAGAAAGATTACTAGATATGGTAAATACTGTAGCTATAGAGAATGGAGAGGTTTGGTACTCTCTGTGTGTGCAGCACTCCTGGTGATACTAAATGCATTTTTCTTCCCTTAAGAAAGGAGAATCTTGGGCCAAAGAAAGCCTCTAAGAACAGTACAATTGTTGATAAGCAGGTTAAACATGATTAGGTGTATTTGTCATATTAATTCCTGTTTTTGCTACTATTAATAATGTGCCACTAAGTTCACTATGAAGCTATCCATAGGCAAAACATTATACTCTTTCTGTAACAGGCTTAAGAAGTATATCATTGGACACAACAATTATTAAAAGGAAACAATTAGGTATTCAGAGACAGTTAATGCTGAGATATAGTACAATGGTCCCTGTCCCAGCTCTGCCTTCACCAATGTGTGATCATGAGGTCCACTGAGCCGCAGCTTCCTCCCATGAAGGACCCTCACCACCTTATGTATTTAGTCATTCAACAGCAAGTAGTGAGCTACTGGCTCTGTGCCAAGTGGGTCCAACGTGCTGGAGATTAAAAAATGGTAACCAAGAGAAGAAAAAGTCCCTTCCCTCAGGGAACTTACAGGCTATCATGGGAAACACACTGTAAACAAACAAAGAAAACCCATGGTAGAATGTTGGGTGGTGGTAAGTGCTGTAAAGAGAAATGAATCGGGATAAGAGGAAAGAAGTGATGGAGACTCCTTCAGATGGGCTGATGATGGTAAAAGCTTTTCCGAGGAGATTCCATTTGAGCAAATACCAGAATAAGCCAAGGGAACAGACCATAAAGTTATCTAGGCTAGGAAAATAGTAAGTCCTAAAGCTCTGACATGGAAACAAGTTTGGTATTTTTGAAAAAGAGCAAGATGTTCAGTCTAGTTGGAGTGGAGTGAGAAAAGAGTCAGGCAATGAATTCAGAAAAATAACGGGGTGCAGATGATTTATATAGCACCTTGTGGACAAAAGGATTTGGGCTTTTACCCTGAGAGACGTGGAAAGCCACCTCAAGATATTCAGCAGAGTAGTAACACGGTCTGGCAGTATTTTAACAGGATCGTTCTGGCTAGTGTACAGAAAATAAATGATAGAAGAACGAGGGCAGAAGCAGATAGATGGATTTAGAGGCTATTAAAGTATCCATGAAAGAGATGCTCATGGATTAGATTAGGGTGGTGTCAATGGAGATGACAAAAAGTAGTCCAATATAGCACAAAGTTTGAAGGCCAAGCTATCTGGAACATGCTGATGAATTAGATGTGGCATATGAGATTTTTAAAAATCAACATGACCCCAAGACTAAGTTATTGTCTTAGTCTTAAGTTATTTAGGCTAAGTTATTTAGTGAATAGTATTATAATTTACTAGGATGAAGAAAATTATGAGGAACCAAAAGCTTGACTTTGGCCATGTTATATTGGAGACGCCTGGTAGACATCCAGGTCGACCTCTCTAGTGGCAATTACAATATGTCAGTCTAAAGCGCATGGATTGGGCGTTGACACATACAATCTATAGAAGGAACCAGGTTTCTGAGATAATCCAGGAAGAGAATATAGGCATAGAAGAGAAGAGGATATTGTAACATTCTAACAATTGGTAACCATACCGAGAAAAGAAGGCTTTAGGAAGTGACACTGAGATGTGGCCTTTGATGGTGCCTAAGTTCTTCTCCAGCTTTAAGAGTCTGTCCTTCTCCAAAAAGTTTCTAAAACTTTTGACATAACATTGACATATACTTGCAATTTATTAACAATATGGTGTAACAACAGGTAGTATAGCATAATAATTATGAGTATGGATTCTGTCCTCAGACTACGTAAGTTCAAATCCCAGCTCTTTTGTTAATAGCTCTGTAACCAACCTTGGGCAAATTGACTTTCATAGTCCTCTACAAGTGATGCATATAGTACCTGCCATATAAGAGTTGTGAGAATTAAGTAAGATAACGTTTACAAGGGGCTTAAAACAATGTCTGGTATGTACTTGATAAGCATTGCTTGTATTAATTACTATTACTGGATGCTGCATGGAGCTCTGAATTCTAAACTGGAAATAAAACTAGAAATCTAGTTAATAAGTAAAATACTGGGTAATACAGTTGTTAACATGGATTATCCAAGATCTGTGTTAATTCAAAATCATACTATTAGCGTGGCACCCATAGCTCAGAGGTTAGGGTGCTGGCCACATGCACCAGGGCTGGTGGGTTCGAACCCAGCCTGGGCCTGCTAAATAACAATGACAACAGACAACAACAACAACAACAAAATTAGCCAGGCATTGTGGCAGGCACCTATAGTCCCAGCTACTGGGACTGGGAGGCTGGGGCAAGAGAATCACTAGAGCCCAAAAGTTTGGGGTTGCTATGAGCTGTGACACCACAGCATCTACTGAGGGCAACATAGTGAGATTCTGTCTCAAAAAAAAAAAAAAATCATAACTATTGTCACATACTCTGCAATCAGAATTGGTCAACTCAGTATCCTTGCCTGGTAGAAATTTCACCTCTGATGAATCTTTACCAGCCTGGGCCAATGAAATGCATAGCCAAGCTTGGCACATCTTGTATTTACCTAGATAAGTGGGTGGTTATTTCCCTGTTTATCAAAAGAAAAATTTGCCTGACAAATCTATTGTGCCAAGAACCTAAAATGCCACTGCCATGCAGAATATTGTAAGCATTCATGTGCTTCCAAACACCAGTTGCTATGTGATTTGTGAAGCTATAAACCCATCAAATAAAACATAGTTATGGATTTAAAACAAAGAACTCACAGTAAATTACCAACCCCACAATTCAGATTTCTATATTTTCTCCCTTCTATTTTACACAAACAAGATCCAAAAATATTTATTCCTTGTTGTGCTGGGCCTACTTTAGAGAAAAACGGGCAAAAGTCCATGGCCTTATAGAGATTATACTCCAGCAAAATCCAAGTCCTAGATTCACATTCTAACTGTAGAACACAGAAGCCTTGTGTGAACCTGCATAGCCTGAGAAGTCACTGTCTTGGACACTCATCCCTACCAAGAGAAAAGCCAACTGTTCTGGGGTTTCCTCCTGGGGAATATGAGTGAATTCCTTCTTGTGGCTTTATGAAGTGCCTTGTACTAATACAGAAAAAGATGCCAGTTATGCTTATGTTTCCATTGTGATTCTTTATGTTTTTTCTTTCATTCAAATTGCATCTGTAGGTGGTTCGGATTACTGGTTTCCCCTCTTCCCTCTTGCTCTGTAGTGTTGCTAGGACCAAGCTGGTCTCTCCCTGGGGGCTGTGCTCACAGTACTCTGGCAGTACTCTGCCCTGGAGCCAGCTCCTTTGCAGCAGGCAGCTTGGTAAGGCTCAAGGAGAACAGAAATTGGAATCAAGTAAGTCTGAGTTAGAATCTTTGCTCCATCACCTGCATCTCCATAACAGCTATTTCCCAGTGCTATTCTTTCTTTACACAAATGCTTATTTGTCCATCATGTACTAGGCTACATGGTAAGCACTGGGATTCAGATGTGAATAAGGTGTGAGCCTTCACCTCTGAATGAGATAGAGTCCTTGACCTGAAGGAGTTGAGGCTCAAATAGGAGAGGTGGACATGCACACAGATTGTTATAATTCAGTGTGCTAAATGTTGCCATGTTGAGTAGTCACAAGTGCTAGTAGTACTTACTGGGTACATGGGACTGGGGGTCAGGGAGAAGTGGGTACCTCATACAGCAGGGGTCCTCAAACTTTTTAAACAGGGGGCCAGTTCACTATCCCTCAGACTGTTGGATGGCCAGACTGTGGCCCCGGGACAAGTCGGCTGCTAAGCAGGACAGGAAGCAACAGCAAAAACACCTGGCGGGCCAGATAAGTGTCCTAGGCAGGCTACATGTGGCCCACGGGCCATAGTTTGAGGACACCTGTCATACAGCCTTATGCAGCCCAGGGAAGAAGTGGCTCCACAGTGGGGATGCCTTTGAATAATTATCCCAAAGAAGAAAAAGCAGTGCAAGAGCTGAGAGTTGTGGGGGAGTGTGGCATGTTCAGGGGCCTGTAGATAGCCCCATATGCCTGGGGCAAATGTTCAGAAGTTGGAGAAGAGGGGTCAGGCATTGAACCTGGGAATGCATACAAGAGCCAGACCACAGAAGACTTTGAAGGGCTGTGTGATAGAGATCTCTCCATGACCTCCAGCCTGAGTACAGTGAGGGCAAAATAATAAATGTCTCACAGTCACAAGCAAACACACATACACACGGAGCACTACTTCTCTGAGCCTGTGCCTGTGAGGAAGGACTCTGTGAACGGGTAGAAGGAAGGCACAAAAAATAGAGAAACTGGGAAGGAAGTTACAGAGCACCATTTTGAATATTTCGGGTTTGTGGAACAGTTAGGATATCTTGCACAGATCCCCCTATTGGCCGTCAGAAATAGGGTCTAAAGCTCAGGGGGGAGGTCCAAGAGGTCTGGGAGTCATAGGTGGGAGTTGAAACTGCAGCTGCAGATTAAATCCTTGAGAAAACATATTAAATAAGAAGAGGTGGGGCGTTGAGAGTGGAATCCTGGAGAACACCAACAACTTGGGAAGAACATCTGGCAAAACAGGTTGAGGGTGAATTGTTTAGAGGCAAAGCTACAAACAGAAGAGTGTGTCAGAAATAACCACAGGGAAGGAGTTCAAGAAAGCATCAGGGTTTAACATCAAGGACTGTGGAATATTTAAGTGAGATGAAGAAAGAATAATCACATTGCATTTGATCATTAAGATGTCCTTTGTGACCTCAGAAAAGGCGGTTTCAGGGCAATCGTAGAGGATTCAACTTGGCAGTCAGGGTAGGAAGACTCTCCAGCAGTACTTAGAGAGCGATGCAGGGTTCTAGAATAGCTGTCGAAGATGGAGGCAGTTGAGTGTTTACGTGCAGGGAGGAGGAAGGAGTCTTTGCAAGGTGGAAGAGCTGATGTGATTTCACCACCCAGGTGAAGGGGTGCTGGGAAGACTGAGAGGCCAGACGTGTGGGCAGACCCGGCCCCTCTCTGGGCATGGTTCTTACTTTGTACAGCTCAGTATCACGTGCCAGAGTCTACTCTGCTGCTGGCAGATTCGCCACTTGGAGCTCGGGTCCTTCTAAGGAGAAGTCAGCACAGCCCTCAGGGCTGATGAAGAAGACAAAGCCAGTCTCACTCTTGATGTGCTCCCCTAAATTTCCTCCAACCCAGGTGGCGCCTTTCACGTGTAGCGCCACCCAGCCTCCCCACCCCACGCTGTTCTCCCCTGCTTTGCCGGTGCTTGCTTCCAACAGTCATTACTGCCGCCTCTCCGCCTGCACAGCTGCGACGCCGCTGCTGCCAGCTCTGTCTGTCGGAGTAAGTGCATTTTCAGAGCTCATCAGCTCGCTGAGCTACAACTAAGGGGATATTGATCAAAATAACAGCTGGCTCTGGCTTGCAGAATCCACCAGCAGAATTTCTGGAATCCAAACCCCCCTCCCCACCCCCATCCAGTTCTCCTTTCCATTGGCAAAGGACTGAGTTTTCACATCCTCACCAAAACGAAGAGAGTCATCAGAGTCACAGCACAAGAACTGTCCTTGCTGCTGCTTTGAGGGGTTGTCAGGTCCTGGAGAGATACTTCAAAACTCCCACCACAGGGGTGGACCTCACCAGCCTAAGGTCCCAGCTCTACTGCATCCGGAGGACCCTCCCTGCAGTGTCCCAGCTCTTCTGTGTGGCCCTAAACAGAGCTACTCTGCTTCCTCAGTCCCTTAAACCACCTCTGCAATTTGTTTACTCTCTCAGTTTAACAGAGCCCTCTTTCTCTTAGACCTGGGACCACTTCAACTTAGAACTGTGTCCAGAGACAATTTTTATGATGGTATATGGAATCACTCCTCAAAGTTTTATTCCCTCTGGTACGTCAGCACAGTACCAGGATGTATCCGACCTGGCCTCCTCACCTCCACTATACTCTGAGTGAAGTTAAAAAGCAGCCTGTCGGGGATTCCATCATTGCCTCTCACGCCTGTTGTCCCAAGCTCTCCCTCCCACACGTTAACAGGTTTGGAATCCTTCAGCAAGCAGAGCGCTGGGAGATCCGCGTTAAACTTGCGTTGATGGCACCTTCAGAATCCTTAAGTGGGCTGTTCACCACACTGTCCTCCCCACGGCAGATGGCGGGGCCGCTTGTGATCCTCTGATGGAAGTGAGAAAAGGGAGAGGCTCAGTGGGGACAGCCACTTGCCAGTTCTTAAAGCGAGCAGGAGTTCTGCCATCTGCAAGCCATGCTTTGCCTTTTAGCTTCTGAGTGATAGTCCAAGAGTGGATTTTCATCGAAAGCACTGCTCAGCTGAGGAGCAGACTGCTCCCAGAATCAATCACCTGGCTCTGTGTTCAGCAGGCTGGTGGTTTGAGTTAGTCAGTCAGGACTATTTATTGAGCATCAGGCTGGAATCAGAGCGGTAAGGAGCCAAGGCTAAAACACAAGACAGAGAGCACTGGCCCCACTGGCTCTGCAAAACCTCAGAAACTAAAATGGATACATTTTTGCTGCCCTCAGTTTTTGAGAATTAGTGCCAGTTCTTGAAGAAGGAGGTAGTCACATAGGAAGCATGTCACCATGGATATTTAAATTAATTTAGCTGTGCATTCAGAATTTTCTGATGTGACTCATTTCTTAAGTTATAAATAATGGTTAGTCTTGAAGGGTGAATGTACTTGCCACAATTTTTAGAACAACAAAAAAAGCAACCTAAAATGTTTTATTTTACAACCCAGTTTTCCTGTAGTACTTTTATGTAGAATAGCTTTTTTTTTTTTTCAGATGACGTCCTATAGACTCTGCGTGTGTATGTTTCAGAGTCTCTGCAGGATTTCAGTAATGAAATTAGTCATTATATGGTGGCTTAAACTCTTTTCAAGTTCAAATAAAAGATAATAGGAAATACAAAAAATAGTAACTGGTGAAGTATCATGGGTAGAACAAAAGTTAGAACTGATCACACAGATCTGGATTAGAACACAGTCACACCACCTGCTAATTATGTGACCTTCAACTATGCTGTTTGGCCCCATAAACCTCTATTTCTAGTAGGTGAACTGGGAATGAAAATACCTATCTCTCATAAGATGTTTATGAGGATTTAATGTAAAGCACATCTAGTATTATTCTAGGTCAGTGGTTCTCAACCTTCCTAATGCCGCGACCCTTCAATACAGTCGGGTAACCCCCCAACCATAAAATTATTTTCGTTGCTACTTCATAACTATAATTTTGCTACTGTTATGAATTGTAATTTAAATATCTGCTATGTAGGACACCCCCCAAAGGGGTCACGACCTACAGGTTGAGAACCGCTGTTCTAGGTCATAATGGTTCTCTTACCCCTCCCCTTTGCTAGGATGATGGATTTATTGCATGTCTTCCTTCTGTTAGCTAAGCCTCCTTTATTAGTGCATTATCCCTGCAATTTAATAAATAAGTTCATTAAACAAATATACTTTAAATAGCGAAGATTAAATGGTGCTTTATATTTGGTTATTTTCCCAGCCTTGTTATTCTAACCAAAAGTAATTAGGAGCAGGAGGAAGTGAAAAACATGTTTTAAAAATAAATAACACCATCTACTATTCCTTACTCCCAATGCTGAGCCATGGTTGCAATACCGTTGGCGATGCAGCAGAACAATTTTACAACAGGTGTATTTCCAAACAATAATTTCAGGCATGGTTTCATTTCATCCTCACAACAACTTTAGGAGGCAGGTACTATTATCATTTGTTATTTTGTAGATGGGGAAGTTAACGAGAACATTTAAGTAACTTTCCTTTTACGATTCAAGTGCTAGGTGGCAATGTTAGAAACCCAGCTTGATTGTGTTCCTTCCAAATCCATGTGATTCCACCATGTCACTTTCCATCTTCAGCATGTTACTGTTGATTAGAACTTGAGCTAAGGCAGTTTAACCTCCACCTGCTATTCTTAACATGTGTTAGTGTCGGCACAAGCACAGCCCAAATAGTTACCTGCGAGAGAGAACAAGGGCAGGTCTTCTAAGCCCTGCTTCTGCACCTTGCAAGCTGGCCATCTCTAGGCCAGTGATTTACCCACTCGGAAGCTACATTTCCTAATGCGTAAACTGGCAATTGTGGTTCCTTCTCTGCTTAATTGAAAAAGAGGTGGGGAGTTACAAAGACTGAATGTCCTCCAGCCAAAACCACCAGGAACATATCTGTAATAGTGAATAGGTTGGGTTCATTACTCATCACAGTGAGAAAGAGTGACACCATAGGGGATATGGGGCATTTCAGTAAGAGACTGTGAAAAAGGAAGTATTATCAGATGTGGTCTTTGGTTGAGTGATTTGGGAGAGGGTCTGATGAAGCAAGAGTTCACTATGAATTGTCAGGGCCAATGCTATGATTGAATGTCTTCATAAATCGTAGGTGTAGGGAGGGCAGACAAGAGTGAGACTAAAGCTATAAAGGGTAAAGAAGTAGCAGTCATTCAGATTAGTCAGGAGAAGGGATTGTTTGGTAACTTGTGGTCTGCACAATGGCTTTCTTTTTGTCTTTGCATAGACGGAAATTATAAAAGGGCATTGTTTTGTCTTACTCCATTAGGGTCACAAAATAAGTTTGCCTGGTGTTAATGTTCTCTGAGACTGAATGTGCCCAATGGGAGAATAGCTTCCTATGAGTTCCCTAGCCAGCTTCTAACAACACGAAGGGATAGTCAGGCCAGTTCCTGGATATCTGGGCTGCTTTTCTCTTCCTCAAAACCAAATAAAACAATGAAAGAAATCAAGACCCAAGGCCACAGTTTCTGGCTACCATTAAAATCAGGAGAGTCTTCCTTTCTCCTTCTTGGTTTTCATACCAATCTAGGGGAACTAGGAATATTCTCTCAAAAAGAGGACAAGTCCTGACCCAGAGGGCTCAGCGGAGAGCTGAAGCTCCTTCCTTAGTCATTCTTCTTTTGTTTTCTTCCTCTAGGTCGGACTCATCTCAGGTACAGTCTTCGTGATTCTTGGATTGACTGTTCTGGCAGTGGGCTTTCTTGTGCCCCCCAAAATTGAAGCGTTTGGTGAAGCTGATTTTGTGGTGGTCGACACCCATGCCATCCAGTTTAACGGTGCCCTTGACATGTACAAGCTGGCAGGAGCCGTTCTCTTCTGCATCGGGGGCACAGCCATGGCAGGGTGCCTGCTAATGTCCGTGTTTGCAAAAAGCTACTCCAAAGAAGAAAAATTCCTTCAGCAGAAGTTTAAAGAGCGGATCGCAGACATCAAGGCCCACATCCAGCCCGTTACTAAAGCTCCAGGCCCCGGGGAAACAAAGATTCCAGTCACCTTGTCCAGGGTTCAAAATGTCCAGCCTCTAGCAGCAACCTGAGCGTTTCCCACCCCCATCCTCCCTGTCTGATTTACACACATGGTTGAATGGAGCAGGCCAGGTTTTGAGATGCCGAGGATTTGGCGTGGCCTGCCCCAGGGGCGTGTTCCACAGTGGGCAGCATAAGGGGCGAGCTCTCACTCGCTCAGTTCAGGTGGCTCTGTTGAAAGGCTGATGCCGTGTGTCAACCGTGCACACACATCCAGCTGCTGACAGGGGTGTGTCTGCGTGCCCAGCAGGAGCCTTCCGCAACACCTCTTTCATGTCTTGTGACTTTGTGTTATTTTCCGTGTTATTTGGGAGTGCTGAACAGTTTAGACCAGCCCACCAGTGACTAACGTGGACCATTTTATTTTCTAATATCGGTTTTTCTAATCTTTCCTGCGTGGTGCTGTCTTTCATTCCTGTCTCAGTATGTGTAAGACATTGTCATGTGTGTTCACAGAAACATGGAATTCTCTGAGTTTGACCCAAATATCAGTCTTTGAAATATATCTCAACATGAGGTTCCTGAGATTAGAGAAAAGTTATCAGCATTCTCCACCAATCTGTTTTCTCCAGATTTTCTTTATAAAGCTAAAGTTGCCAACTTTAGAATCTTGGCAAAGAAATGAATATTAGGAGCCTCTATTTACACAGTGTCCAAAAGCATTGTGTTAGAAACCAGGAATTTTGAGTTCCTTCTAACAACCAGCTGAATGATGTCAGGGCAATCCCGGGCCTCGCTTTCACCATCAGTATAATCAGAGTGCTGGACTGCAGTGTCTGAGGACCCTCCCTGTTCAAACATCTGAGATTCCTTTTTTGCCACATGTCATCAAGTATCTCCCCCATGGACGTTTAATGATATTTTTGTGGCTCTCATCACCTCTGAAACTCGTGGCTGATTTCAGAATTAGACTCTTGGAAAGTCACCAAGTCAGCAGGCTTCATACTACCTATGGTCAAATAGCGAACCCCAGCAGTTTATATAAAGCTGTCATATTTTTTATAAAGACAAAAGTAAGCCATCTTCAAATAAGAAATCCCTGGGCAGATATTAACCTTAAAAAGGGTTTTCATTGTCAAATAAGATGTTTTATTCCCCAGCAAGATGTTCGTCTCATCCCTTGCACCTTTATTTAATCTGTGGATTTAAATTAGACTGAGGAAAATGAAAAATATGACCCTGGTATTCTCTCAGAATTGTGCCACTTTAGAGTTCTGTCTTTTTTTTTTTTTCTCTTCCTACTGGATAAATAAAATATGTGAATGAGCAGAACCTGAATTGCATTGTCATTCCTTCAGTGTGGTTATTTTCTCTTCAACATGTAATTTTCCATTCTGGGGCTGAATGAGCTCTGATATTTCCCTGGCTAAATGGGAGAATAAATGAAGCAATTAGCGCTCTTTGTGCACAGTGTTTATTTTGCGCAGTACAGCATAAAACACGGGCAGACTGGCATCCTCGGCAAGGATCAGTGGCCAGATTATAGAAAAATGTTTCCGTTTCCTCGGGTTCTCCACCTTCCTGTGGAAATACCATTTGAATTTTATCCTTTGAAGACTTATGCAAGCCTTAAAGCTTCTGTCCCAGGCAGCCCTATTTGAAGCTTTCAGTGCTGGCTTCAATCTTGTGGTACCAATGAATCTTTAAGGATGAAACTTGACTTATAAAAGCCTCCTGAATGAAAAATAATGGTTTGGGGGGCTTGAGAACGTTGGGCAAGAGAAGAGACATTAAAAAAAAAAAAAAAAGCCTCATTCTTCAGATGAAGGCCTGCAAGAAGCCAAGGCAAAGTAGGAGCTGGGTCTGAAAGGAGTCCAGCCCACATAGCCTTCCACCCAGGCCTGGTGGAGGTGGCCGCAGGTCAGGACCCTCCCAGACCTCAAGGCAGGGATGGGGAGTTATTGCAGCAAAACAGAGGAAGAAGGCTGAGTGGTATGGGAAATACAGTCTGATCTTTAGAAGGAACACAGGCCGTTAATCAGAGGGTCAGAAGCTGTGACTAAAGATTTTTTAAAGCTATTTTTGGGTCTGAGTTGGGCAGACGTCCCAGTGTTATGGCAAGCAAGAATGGTCTTAGAGCTCAGTCCCAATCTGATCGCTTGACTAACCAATCCTTCTCTTTAGTCTTGAAGCATCTAAAACAAAGTGAACCACACATCTATAACCCATGAGGGAGTAGAGAAGGTGCTGATACTGCAGCTGGAGGTACTCAGAGCCGAGTTCTGTCCTGGAGGCCATGCACACTTGGAATTGAAAGAAACCTTGGGGAATATGGGCCCACCCCATGCAGACGTTCCCCCACCCCTCATCAACACTCCTCCAGCAACCTCCATTTGCAAGGGAACTTCCGGTGACTGCATGCCTGCTGTCTCACAGGGCAAGCCACTGCATCTTATGGTAGCTCTGGAGGGTTAGAAATCTCTTGTTCACGTCTCTCCAAAATCTCTCTAAACCATCCACACACTGGACAAGATTTCATAGTTTGAAGTTTTCTAGTAGTCTAGCCCTCTTAACCCTTCCCCTCACCCTGAACTACATATCTACAATCCTGTCACTTCCACAGAGAGATATTTCTGTCTGTTTCTACTATCCCTGATTTGTGCATACCACCTATCAAGTGGGGCCTCTAGAAGTTTTAAAAATTATGTATGTTAAAGAATCCCTAACTTCATTAAGTCATGTTACTTAGTACACAGACAGCACCTCAAACCAGAATGCAATGGGCGGGGCGGCTGTGGAAGCAGCTACTTCATGGCTTCCGAGCCTCCTCGGATCTGCCCAGCTTCTTTTGGTTTTATTTCAGTACAAGCCCTGGAACCCTGCACTCTAGTGACACGGTCATATCCAACCATTCCCTCTCTCTAAATGTGGCTGCACTTTCCATGCCACTGTGCCTTCTCCCACAGTGCTTATCTCCCCTGCAGTAACCATCTGCCTGTCCTCTGGCTATGAACTCGCCATTGGAGGCCACAACAAGAAATAATAGCAATAAGAACACAAGCTAACATGTACTGAGTGAAAGGCGTCATCGAAGCATTTTACACATAGTGATTCATTTAACCCTCAAAAACCCCTAAGTGGTCAGGACTACTACAGTATCCCCATTTCACAGGGGAGGGGAGCCAGCAAAAAAAGCAGAACTTGTCCACGGATAGCTAGTTAGTGACACAGTGACAGGGCAAGATTCCAATTCAAGCAGCCTGGCTCCAGAAGCTGCTTTCAGGCAATATACTCCTCTGCCTCTAGATATGCCACCTCCTCTCTGTAGCTTCCCTCCCCTAACCCCCCAGCTCTCTCTCTCAGGTTCAGACTTAATCTCTTCTTTCTCAATATATCCAGCACTTTGGGCAACCACATTCTACCCCAACTGTAAACAAAGGGAAAACAAACAGGGCCATGAAAGTTCTTGATACCGAATATGTGTGTGTGTGTGTGTGTGTGTGTGTGCGCGCGCGCGCGCGCGCGCGCGCACGAGTGCACGTGTGTACAGGCAAAAAGTAATGGATTTTCTGGGGAAGATTAAAACCTAGAGTATGGATATGCGGTCTCCAGAGCAAAGCTCTCTCAGCATAGCCATGAGCTGGGGCAGGCCTGTCTAATGGCTGCTCATAGTACCTACATCTGAAAGCAAAATCCGCCAGCCAAGGAGGGCACCAAGCTGCTAATCAGACGTACCGTTCCAGCAACAGACTCACAGAAGAGCAAAACACTCAGCCCAAGTGGAAAACACTGTTTCAAGTAGCTCTGAATCAGCAACCTGCTCTTTCATCCACAGATATGAAACTATAACTAGAATCATCAGACATCTGAGGAAGACCGACACTTTGAAAGAAGATATGCATAAGGGTTAACAAACTCAGTGGGAAACCTAAGTATTTTAGAAATCACAGGTGAACTCAAAAAAGAATTGCATTAGTCTTCAGGAAGAAATGATATCAATAAGATAAAAATGGAATATTGTGAAAAAGAACATCAAATGCCTTAAAACAAATTACTAAAAAGAATAAATTGAAATCACTTCATAGAAAGTAAAATTAACCCACTCCATTTAAAAAAAAATGAAAAATAGAAACAAAAGGTAAAGACACATAGATTCAATCAAGGAGGAAAGAATAATCAATAAAATAATGGGAAATTCTGGGTAAGTCTCAGAAGGTAGCGTCCTTCCAAATATTGGTCAATTTCTTTCAGATTTTCATATTTCTGAGAATAGAGTTTTTTGTAGTATTCATTATGAATTTTTTGAATTTCTGAGGTGTCTTGTTATTTCGCCTTTGTTGTTTCTGATAATGAAATTAGGGATTTTAATTTTCTATTTCTGATTAGGCTAGCCAAGGGTTTCTCTATTTTGTTAAACTTTTCAAAAAACCAACTTTTTGATTCATTGACCTCTTGAATAATTCTTTTGTTTTCAATTTCATTTAATTCAGCTCTAATTTTGGTTATTTCTTTTCTTCTGCTGGGCTTGGGGTTGGAATGTTCTTCCTTTTCCACTTGCTTGAGATGTCCCATTAAGTTGTTGACTTCCTCTCTTTCTGTTCTCTTAAGGAAGGCTTGCAGCACTATAAATTTCCCTCTTAGGACTGCCTTTGTGGTATCCCAGAGGTTCTGATAATTTGTATAATCATTATCATTCTGTTCCACAAACTTGGTAATTTCCTTCTTAATCTCCTCTTTGACCCAGCTATCTTTCAGCGTCAGGTTAGCTTCCCCATCTTTGTATGAGTGTGCAAATTCCTGTTATTGGTGAGTTCAACTTTTATTCCATGATGATCTGATAAAAGGAATAACTTCTATTCTTTTAAATTTGCTGAGGTTGGCCTTGTGACCTAAGATGTAATCAATTTTGGGGGATATCTCATGGGCTGATGAGAAGAACGTGTATTTAATTTTGTTAGGATGAAATATTCTATAGGTGTCTATTAAATTCGATTCTTATATGGTGAAGTTTAAGTCCAGAATTTCTTTGCTTAGTTTCTTCTTGGAGGACCTATCCAACACTGCCAAAGAGGTGTTAAAATCTTGACTATTGTGGGCAGCGCCTGTGTTCAGTGGGTAGTGCACCGGCCCCATATACTGAGGATGGGGGTTCAAACTTGGCCCTGGCCCAACCGCAACAAAAAAAATAGCCAGGCTGTGTGACACCAAGGTACTCTACCAAGGGCTATAAA